AGACATTGAGAAAACGAAAATTAGAAAATTTTAAAACCTCAAAAATTGAAGAATCAAAAAACTGAAAAATCCTAAAACTAAAATATCGCAAAATTGAGTAATCGAAAGTTGAATTGAGTTTTATTCAGTCAGATCATCCCTTGGCCCTTCAGTACAATTCAACAAATCCCCTTGTTTTTTTTTTTGTGATAACCTCTAAATTAAAAAAATTGGGGAAGGATATCATAAAACTTTGATTTTTTTTGCGAAAATCTGGTTGCCTAGGATAAAAAATCAAGGTGGATTCAGAAACATAGGAATATGTCATTTTACAAAATGTAAACGTTTACTAAAATAATTGGTCGAACGTTAATTCGACAGAACTTCCCTCGCCCCTGAACCACGGTCCAACAAATTTTCAATGCTTTTTTGAAAAATTTTGAAATTTGATTGTATGAAATTTTACTTTTTTGTGATAACCTCAAAAAAAGACAGGTGGGGATCCCGAGAAGACTTCACATTCTTAAAAAAAAAAAGACAGTTGGGGCCCTCGAAAAGGTTTCATCTTCTTTTTCGAAGATTACGCGTCTAATAAAAATGCATACAGACACCAGACAGCCAGACAGACGGACGGACAGACGGAAACAGGGGACTACGTTTTTCGTATTGTAAAGGTCATGAAACGTCAAAAAATATACAAAAAATACGATTCTACGAAATCAAAAAATTTTGTAAAAGCTGTTCCAAATTTCCATCTCTAAATAAATACATTCTGTTCGTTTCAAGTTACTTTTCTATTTATAACAGCTCATAACTCGTTACTGGTTATCTGTATAAGAGAAAAGCTCAGTTTAATGACACGTTGAGTATACATAAATAACTGCTTACTTATTGGTAACGGGTTTTATATACAGGATGTTTACTAAACATGCGGCAAAAATTCAGGGGGTATTCATTGGATTATTTTAAGATTTGTTGTTTAGTGAATGAGCGATAACAGTAAAGTACAAGGACAAACAAATCTTAAAATAATTCAACTAAAACACTCTGTATTCCGTATATATAACAAATGTTAGAACGATTGATTAGCAAAGATAGCACAAGATATCGTTGGGTTACATTAATGACATTATATCTAAGAATAGAGTTATACGTCAAAATCTTGCAAAAAATTTAGAAATTTACCCATGCTCATGTAAAAGATCACAGTAGGCTCCGATAAAAAACAGGCTCGAGTGTGATAAAGAAAACGCCATAAATATGTTGTCATAGACGGAAAAAGCAAAACATTTAGACTTTGCTCTTGTACACTATTCAAACGACAAAAAAAAAAGACAAAACCGACTTGGACAAATGAAAAGAACAATACTAAACAGATAGAAGCAATAAATAAACATAACGACGACCTAATTAGAAATGTGATAATGTCACTGTCGAAGAAAAGATTAAAAATAACACCTTAAACCGCAAAAAATCGACCGATAAAACACCTCTTCGCAGCTTCTCTGAGTCAACCTTGCTTTTGCATAACCCGCGTCCCCGCCATTCCCACCTGCCTAACACGTACACAACACCTCACTCTATGTATATTTATTTTCCGAGCGAGCAAATGTTGAAAGGGTGGGTCATTGCCGACCACTCGCCTAAAACGCCGCGACATCTTGAAAACCGAATACTATTATAAATCCGCACCGAAAACCATTATCCAAAGCAGCAAAACAAGTTTATTTATTTTTATGGACATTGTTTACCGGCGGATTATGTAAGCTACAGATAGACGGCGTTCGCTAAACGTTTATTTACGCTCGAACTGATTGAGCTCCACTTCCGAATCATTTATAAATATTTCGGCTCTTTAATTGCCCGCCATCAAAATGGCTCCTCCGACTACTCAATTAGCCCAACATTATTCGTGACATTCTAATTAGCGTCTATTTTTGTCGAAGATGATTTTAACTATGTGAAGGGCAACACTGTAAACAGGTAACTGGTCGAAGAATTTGCTCGTTGTCGGTTTAATTGGCGAAAAAACGTCGCGATGATGGAGAACAGACGCCGAAAATGTGGTGGGATGGTCTAAGTTTCCGAAACTACCGACGACCGTGAATTTCTAACAAAAATACTAAGAGTGCTGGAATTAAATACCAGTTGAATTGAATGTGATCGAGTCTGTCTTTTCGATTTCGTTCCCGAGTTATCGCGGATTCAAGGTCTGTTGTATTTGTAAACAACGAAAATGAAATCATGAAAATCCAATTGGATTTTTCTACAGCGAACGGTTTCTGGAGCTGAGGTCACCAGACCTGAAGAAGGCGGAAGCGGTCGGAGCAACGTTAGCCCCAAGTTACGCTGTTTTTTCGACGACTGTTTCGTAACAAAGTGATGGGTATTGTGTGGTCATTTCTTACACTTAACGAGCAATCGTTGACCTGGCTTGCCCTACGATGAACCCAGTGGAGTCGACAAGGGTCTTAGTGAAATTCGCGTATTAATTATATTAATTTAATAATCATTTCTGCGTTGCTTTAATTGTCCATAGAAAGTTACATAAAAGGAACCACATTTTGCAAGGACACATGTTCCAATTTGAATTGAATAGGTGCAATGTAAGACTAAAAATAACAGTAATTTTCGGTTGCAAAATTTCAGGGCATTCGGTTTTACGGTTTGTAAGTTAAAAAATTAGGGCGGATTCATAAACCACAAGTATAGGAGTATAGTTCAAGGTCTGTTTTGTTTACACTGATCCAAAACCACGAAAACCAAAATTCTGTCCCGTTTTTTGCGCCGCCAAACGAGTTCTTGATGAAGTCACCTCGGCTGAAGAAGCCGGACCCGAATTTAGTTTTTTCAGATTGGCAACTCGCGCGAAATGTCAGATTTGTATATGTGCGATAACCCTGTTTATAAATTTACTAAAAAGAAAACACCGACGCCCGATGCACGTGAAAGAGGTTATAAATTAGTCGCAAATTACACCAACAATATGATCATCGGCAAAATTTAACATCAGTCATACCAACACAATTTCAAAAGTCACCACGCAATAAATTTCCGGATTTCAAAACATACAACTAAAACCTGGTTTACTAGGACATAAACGTCTCGAATTTGCTTTGTAGTAGTGAGTATAAATTCCACTCGAGAATATTTTTCAGGTTATGATAACCCGACACAAGCAAGCGCAAAAAGTGAACTCGATTTTAAAAATAATGCAGTGTTTACAAGACGGTAATGACATATGCGGTGTCAAACAACTTCCACGGGTTTTATGACTTAACTGCACACAATTTGCAACAAAGAATGCCTTTAATGCGGCACGCTCCAGAAACCGCTCGGTAATTTAGTAGTCGCGCGGGATTTTAATATGAAACATTCGCGATGACTAATAAATAACCTAAAACGGATATTTTGTCAGATGGTGGTTGGACGTAATTCTCGCTTATGTAAGTATGTACAGGGCGCTTCAATGAAATGACTTATGATACAATAGGGACCAAGAAGTAGTGATTTCTGTTTCCAAAAATGTTTATTGGGTAAGCCGCTTGGGATTATGGTAATGATGATTTACACCTGCCACCTCCAGAGGGCTTGACTGAATGGAACAAAGATCATTGTTGTGACAAACCCTTGATCCTTTCGACGGGGTTCACTAATTCCGGGTCTCTATTATACAACCAGTACCTGACTATTAATGCCAACTTGACTATTAGTGACTGTAATAGAGGGGTAATAAACATTATTAGACAGAAGTTCCTACTTTTATGATAATCCTATTCTAGTTATGTATGTCAATACTGGCTAAAAAAAAAAATCGGGTGGCTTGAGATCTGGTAACCATTCACTATTAAATTCTCAGCTAAAGTCTAATAAGAATGAGCACTCTAGTAATGGATTTGATATTAGTTAACAGTAACTTGATTATTTTTGAAACTGAAAATAGGATAGTGAGTTCATGTACAGTCGTATAAAGCGTCGAATGAGGGGTCACTCGACCCCCTTGCCATTTAAAATTCTTGGGTGGGGGGCAAGGTGACAAGGTCAAGTCTGACATGAAAATGTTTTTGGGCTTACAAGAGATTTAAGTAGGATTAAGTTGTGCTCGCCCCTTTTCATTGAAGTGCCCTGTATATAACACAGGAGTTATATTTGATTTGGAAAAGAATAACGACACGTGTAGTTTCAAATTCCAATCAAAATTTACTCTGTTACTCAGGTCTCCCTATCATATCTTGGGGTCAAGTTTCATATCGGTGTGGGATAAATATACCCCCGAGGAGTTCGTTTGCACTAGAATTTGGAAAGTTGAAAAAAATGGATGGGTGGTTGCTACTCACACAAGATTTGTTGTCATTTCGTAAGTACGAAACTCTGTAAGTTTAAAAAGTGTGTTAGTTGTGTTTAAGCAGGTCGTAAGTTTGCGGTGGCAATTGTAATCACGTAATCGGCTTTGCCTTTTCCCATTTTCGTTCCTCAGTTATCATCGCACTGTTTCAAGGTCTGTTTTGTTTGTAAACACACTTATGAAAAAAAATCGCGAAAAGGCAAAATGTGCATCGGGAACGGGTCGGGCAGCACACCTGAAGAAGCCGGAAGCGGCGCAATTTAAATCTCGAAACGTGCGGTCTCGCGAGGCATCACCTCGGCGACTCTGCGCCCCCCGAAGGTCACGTCCGAAATTCCGATCACGTGACCGTCCCGTCGAACGCGCCACTTTTCCCCGGCGTCCCTTACGCCAATCAATAATCGCCGAATTCGAATCCGCCGCCACTACGCCACCTTACGCCACCTACGATACTTCCCCGACGAGGACCCGAAAACCGCTCACTCCGCCGTGGAAACGGGAAACGGGCCCTCGCCTGGGCAGGGCCGAGCCCGACGGGGCGCCGCTTCCAGGCGATCGCACAGGTGTCCGGCGGCGGCCGTTACATCACAGCACTCGCGCCGCCCCCGGGCGCCGGCGGCGCCCGGCCGCCCGCGGCGGCCGCGGCGCCGCCGCGGGCCCGCAGGCCTTGCGTTACCTTGAGAGCGGCACCAAACTGAGGGTCGATCCCCGGGCAGGACACTACACCACAACACTTCAAGACGCCATGTCAGCAAATGGCGGTCGGGGCCCGTCGGGGTAGCTCGGGGTAGCTCGGGGGTGCTCGGGGGCGGGAACGGCGCGCAGTTCGAATCGCGCTGGGCGGCGACGACGGATTCGCTTGCGCTGCGCAGCTGCGCAAATCAGAAATCTGGTCACTTACGCTTACGCAACAGCGTGGCCTTCGCCGACTGCGACGCACTGCATTCTGGGGTGGTGACGGGTGCGCACCCTTCGGCCAACTAAATCCAACTCGAGCCCCGCGCAGCTCCGGCTCAGAATACCACCACCACGCGGCCGCGCTGGCCTTGGGAGCCGTGGATGCAGGCGGCCAGGCGAGTCGTGGCCGCGCCGCCGCCCCGCCCCGCCGCCGACTGCGCTGGTCCGCTGGAGGCGAGCGCGTACATGGAGGGCGAGTGCGGCGGCCCAGCGCGGCCGAGCTGGGCGTGTGCCCCACCAGAGCCCCCACGGCTCGGCTGGCCGACTGCACGAAACGGGGATACACGTGCAAGGAGCCGTGGGGTGGTTGACCCCCTCGAAAGAGGACGGCTCTGCGACGCGGCGTAACACTTTCGGCCCGCCGCCCCCCGGCAACAGGTGGCTTTTCCGAAAGGAATCCTGTTGATTTTCGCGGACGACGAGCGCTTTTTTCGCCATGGGCAGATTTATGGAAGTTGGGGCTCGAGCGCCAACGAGGCTTGGAGGACTGCCAACCGCCGACGGCTCCTTCCTCATTTTTTACGAGTGGACGAGACGATCTTCGGGTCCTGGGAGAGGAGCGACGGCGGGCTCTGGGACGGGGAAGAGGCGACTCGAGGGAGATAAGCCCACTTTTGATAAATGGCGCGCTATCAAGGGAGTACTTGTTTGTTTGCTTTTTTAACGGCGGCGTTTTTAGACTTCGAACGAACTTTACGGCTGTTTGCATATACAGGGTGGACCACATAAAAACGCACCACGCCGTATTACAGCTTTTTGATTTTTTTCTAAACGCCGTTAAAAATATTCCAATACTTTAACGTTAAAATAATTTTCGCATTAAAAAACAATTAATTATTATTATTGCTCCTCGGTTTTCCTGTTCAAAAATATATTTATTTATTTTTAATACACAGTGTATTTTTACATCAATATAAAAGAGAAACTGTAAAAGCATGTCCATTCAAGTCGCCCCGCCTATACAACACAATCAGTACCGCGAACGTCCCTCACTCTGAATTTATGTATTACATTTAAGATAACGTTATCAAATTTTTCTACGCGAATAAATTTTAATATCAACACCACGACGAATTTCACTTAAATGGAAATTGCGAAAATAAAAAGTTGCCCCGCAAACTAATTTGCGTTTTTCTCGGGTGACGTCATCAACTTTCTGGAACGAATGGATGAAACTTCAGTCAGTTAATCAGTGTTCGTCTTATCAGAATCAAGAGCTCAGCTATTAACTGATTTAAAGGAATTATGAACTTTTATTATATTTTTTCTGTTCTATACGATAACACCCATGCATAAAGCTAAAAATAAGACATCGCGTTTCCCATGTCAGGCGAAATTTGGCGGGAAAATTTTAAAATAATGATGTCAGCAATTTTTTGGAAGAGATGAATAAATCAAGTTTGTATACACGGAAATCAGCAATGTGAATTTTTATATTGTGTTAGCTAAAGAACGTCAAAAAATTCCAAGATCGAAAAATATAATAATATTCTCAGAGCCAAAATATTTACCATTCGTAGAATTCATTTTCTCGAAAAATTTTCAAGTTTAGGAAATTTAATTTATTTCCAAATATGGCAACAAGTAATTTATAACCAAAAACTGTTACCTATTTTTCGTTAGTTTATGTATTGAGGGAACAGCAAAAATGGTTATTATTGTATCTTGTCAATTTTTTTCTAAATAGTTCTTGATACTGTAATCTACATGCTACCAATGGAATTTGTTCTAAAATATCTCTAATTTAAAAGAAAAAATAAAAAATGTCCGTGACAGATGGATTTACTAAGTACTTCTGATTTTGGCAGTGATATAACTTCTAAGAAAAGAAAGGGTGGGTGGGCGGGGCTCGTATCTACCCAGATAAGACTAATTTTGGCAGATGAGATACCTTCTAAGAAAAGAGAGGGTGGGTGGGCGGGGCTAGTACCTAGTAAGATAAAACTGATTTTGGCAGATGAGATACCATCTAAGAAAAGAGAGGGTGGGTGGGCGGGGTTAGTACCTAGGAAAATAAGATTTAGAATTTTTGAAAATTACAAAAACTTCGTCATTTTAGAAAATCATTACACTTTTGTAAAATTATTGAAGAAACTTTTTTCATGACATATATATTTGCGTTATATCTACAATTCAAAAATCTTCTTTAAACTAACTTCGTCCAAATACAATAAATTCAATTTAAATATTTACAATCAGAACATTAGGGGTCTTTCTCTAGCCTCGCACACTTGCCCTTTATTTTCTTAGAGAATAGGTCCTTTGCCAAAATCAGTGTTATCTGCCTTTTATTTTCACAGAAAGTATGTCAATTTGCAATATCAGTTTTGTCTTCGGAGGTACTAGCCCCGCCCACCCGCCCTTTATTTTTTTAGAGAATAGGTAGATCCTTTGCCAAAATCAGTCTTATCTGGGCAAGTAGATACTGGCCCCACCCACCCGCCCTTTATTTTCTCAGAAAGTATGTCATTTGATAAAATCAGTCTTATCTTAGCAAATACTAACCCCGCCCACCCGCCCTTTATTTTCTTGGAAAGTAGGTCCTTTGCCAAAATCAGTCTTATCTTGACAAGTACTAACCCCGCCCACCCGCCCTTTACTTTCTTAGAAATTAGATCCTTTGCCAAAATCAGTGTTATCTGCCTTTTATTTTCACAGAAAGTATGTCAATTTGCAAGATCAGTTTTGTCTTCGGAGGTACTAGCCCCGCCCACCCGCCCTTTATTTTTTTAGAGAATAGGTAGATCCTTTGCCAAAATCAGTCTTATCTGGGCAAGTAGATACTGGCCCCACCCGCCCACCCTTTATTTTTTCAGAAAGTATGTCATTTGATAAAATCAGTCTTATCTTAGCAAATACTAACCCCGCCCACCCGCCCTTTATTTTCTTGGAAAGTAGGTCCTTTGCCAAAATCAGTCTTTTCTTGACAAGTACTAACCCCGCCCACCCGCCCTTTATTTTCTTAGAAATTAGATCCTTTGCCAAAATCAGTCTTATCTTGACAAGTACTAGCCCCGCCCACCCGCCCTTTATTTTCTCAGAAAGTATGTCTTTTGGCAACATCAGTCTTATCTTAGCAAATAAGTAACAACGTTTGAGCTTTTATAAAATTTCAATTTTTTTTGTACTACTAGTTGACTGGTGATTTTTTTTGTACACAACAGAAAATAAATAAAATACGCATTTTTTCAAAAATGAAATTTAGTATTATTAAATATATAAGCAATAATAATAATTAACCAATAACTGAATTTTTGGGTTATGCTGTGCCAATGCAACACGTAACAGCTGAAATCATTATAAAAACATATATTGAACGAAGCTTATGTCGATAGAACTTCCCTCGCCCCTCAAGTACAAAAAAAAATACAATTTTTTTTCCAAAAATCATAAAATTTGGTTTTGCAAAATTTACTTTTTTAAGTTAATATCAAGATAATATGTAATGTCAAAGTAAGTGATGATAAAAAAATGTACTTGATCTTAACAATACTTTTTTAATTTGATTTCGTTTTATTTTAATTTTTTTCCTTTTGGAATTTATCGGACTTAAAATATGGGAAATTCAAAATAGCTACTCGAATTTTTTTGTCCAAATTGGTTTTGTTTTTTGTGCCCTTTGAGTAATAGGCATCCATTTTTGTCAAATTTGCAAACTAAAGACATACAGTTGAGGTTATAAAATATTACTGAGGGAGATGTCACTATGTGGTGAAAGCTAAGTTTAATTACAAGTTGAATAATATACAGGGGAGTGTGATATTTTCTGTTGTCTTGCTAATACGTCGTTGTAATACTTGTTATATATACAGAGTGTTTATTTAACATGCGGCAAAAAATCAGGGGGTTATTAATTGGATTTTTTAAGATTTTTTTGTTCTTGGGAGATTTTCCGAAAAATTGATTGTCGAACAGAACGCATTTACTTAGAGACGAAAATTTTGAACAGCTTTTACTAAATTTATTAATTTCGTAAAATCGTATTTTTTGTAGTTCGAACCATAATTTTTGGCTTTAGGAATTTATAAGGACTTAAAATGTGGGAAATTTAAGATGCTGGTACTTTTCAAAATCGTCATATTTAATATATTGCCGCTCCATTGGAAAATATGTGATATGTATTTTTAAACCAAAAAATGTTGAGGTCTTGTAAATTTAAGTTTTCACAACTTGGTATACACATGGCCATTATCTCCGAAACTACTAGACTGATTATCAAATTTTGTGTATACAGGGTGAGAAAGAGCAAAGTTGTAAAGTTCTTTAAGAACTATACTCACTAAAAATTACTTTTAACTATACAGAGTGTTCTGTTTTTAAGGTGTAACACACAACTTAGTTGTCGTAAACATGAATCACCCTGTATACTTTCTAAGCAGCTGTTGATAGTGTCGATTAGATTTTTACCAATAAGGAAAGTACAACGGTGATAACATTGCTAATTGAGCGATAATTCACTTATAGTTGAAAAGTGGAGGTCGTCGACAACCAACTCGACTTTTTCCGATAGTTGTCCGAAATTGTTCAAACATTAGTGATGTATCAAAAATAGACATTTTATTAATTTCTGTCTGTGTGCCCGTGCCTGCGTGCCTCGTCCGCGGTGAAACTTCCCATCCGAAGTATGCCGATATCTTGACCATTTTAGGGTTCGCCGTGTAAGGACGAATCTGCGCAACAGCGGCTCGAAATTTTTCGAACGTTCCATCATACGTCACGCCGCCTCCCAAAAGTGCATTCTCCTTGCACTTGCAACTTTCCCTCCGCATCCCCCGCCGCTTTCGCGGCGCATTCCGCTTTCTCGGCGATTTCCGGCGCATTATTATCGCATTTGGGGAAACTCTAATTATAGTGGAATATTCGGGGCGAGCGCCCCCACCGCCCACATCCCGATTTAGCCCTCCGCATAATAAGCGGCGGTATTGATTAACTCGGTC